GTGAGGAGCTGCTGCTCGTGCGTGGCGACGACGGCCTGCACGTGCGCGAGGTAGCGGTCGTGCTGCGCGAGGATGGTGTTCTTCTCCTCCTCCAACCGCCGCAGCCTCGCTTCGAGGTCGGCGACGCTGAGTTTCATGCGGGCCCGCTCGGTCCGCCCGTAGACGGTGTCCGTAATGCTCTGCAGCATCTCCGCGGAGTAGCTGTTCGGCTCGTTCATCGCGGCGAGCGCGGGGTCGCTCTCGTGGAAGGTCGGGATCGGCTGCGTGTACTTCTCCAGCTCCCGACGAAGCACCGAGATCACGTTGTCCTTCTGCGAGAGCAACACCAACCCTTCCGCCATCCGGTTTCGAACGTTCTGCAGCTCCTCATCGCGGCGTTTGAGCTTTTGGATCAGCATATCCATATCCAGATGGACCTGCCCGATCTCCTTGTTCAGCTGCTCCAACGCCACATCTTGCTTCGCGACTTGCTGGTGTAAGCTGAGGTTTCCCGCCTCCGTCGCGGTCGCGCGCTTTTGCAGCGTCGCGTACTCATCCTTCAGCGTCTGCATCTCCGAGAGCAGCACCGTGTACTGCTGGTTTCGCGTAAAAAGATCCCCTTTGGTGCGCTCCAGCGTCTTCCGCGTCGCGGCCAGGCGGTTCTGCACCGCTTCGAACAACTCAAACGACACCTGAACGGTCGGAACGATCTCCGCCGGCGTCCCGTGCCGCTCATTCGGATCGAAAAGGCTTTTAATCGTGGCGTAATTCGGCTGCCCGATCGCGTCGAGAATGCGCTTGTAATCCTCCACCTGGTGCGCGATGTTATTCCGCCCCAGGGTGAGCGAACGGGGGCTCCCACTCGCTCCATTCATCGTGGAACCAAGCGCGGCGACGTCGTTCGAAAGGTACACCGTATCACAGGTATTCCCAAGGTTCATATTCTCCCGCTGGGAGAGATGGGAGATCGGGAGGGAACCCTCCAAACCGGGCGATGGGGTGGGGAGGGTGGGGAAGTGTTGGGCGGTGCTTTGCCGCCGACTACTCACCATAGTGATGGACGCGAATGGTGTCCTGACGTCCGCTCTCTCTCTCTCTTTCCCTCTCTCTCGTTCTCGCTCTGCCACGTTGAAAGACGGGACCTAACTCGGTAAGACGATCAGAAACACAATGCGAATGCACCGAAAATAGTTGTACCTAAAACTAAAATAGTAATAAAGTTTTATTTTGGCTTGTGAAAATAGCAGTCGGGTATACCAGGTAGATGTGAGGATGGTAATCTGATCTCACACTAAGCTCGAAAACGACCTAGATTCTAGATAGACCGTTTGTGAATTGTATTTCCTTTGGCGTGCTTTTACTAGGGAGAGCTATTCTGTTTTCCCTATATTATTACCCCCAAAATAAATAAATAAATATTTAAAAAAGTTGGTTGGGAAAATCATCAAAGGGGGGGAAGGATAAGCCACTCAGAACAAAAACAAGCTGCAAGTATCCTGCTCAGACGCTTATGCATCTATATATGTATATATTCCAACCGCTATGTATTTCAGAGTTGAACGTCATAACTAAACAAATTAAAAGCGAAATCCAAGCAAATAAAAGTCTAGCACCTATGGAAAGCAATTAGGGAGGCAAAGCGATTTCCCCCCTCTCCGATCAAATAATGCACATTCCTCACACGAAACCATCCTCGCACGCGCTTTCGACATTCCCTAACGATGACGCCCGTGTTGATTGACAAGCCAGAAGATCGTAGAGATCTTTAAAGGGATCCAAAACAGTCTTGCGGTATTCATCCCATGGCAAACCACCCCTGTAACAGCTAAAAAGTGCTTCCTGAATCTGTTCATAGTACGCGATGAACTCCAGCGCGGCGCGCGGCGGCGCGTCGGGTGGAAAATCCTCCGGCGTGGGGAGAAACCTCACCCTTTCCACCGCCGCCTGGAAGTCGTCGATCTCGCCGTTGGCCTGGCGGGAAACGGCGAAGGCCGCGCAGGCGAGCACCCCACGCAACGCATCCATCCATCCCGACGCGTCCACGCCCTCGCCGTCGCTGTCGTAGATATCGACGAGAAGGCGCACGACGCGATCCGGCTGCGATGGATAAAAAGCATAAGCCGCCACCGCGGCGAGGTCGAGCCTCCCCAGCCGCACCCACCGCTGAAAGCTGAGCGAAAACAAATAAGTCGACCACCGCGCGCGATCCGGATGAGGGCGGGGAGGAAATCCCCCTTGTGAGGTCGTCCCCGCCTTGTTGGTTCCCCCCCCTCTCCCTCCGAGGCTCACTGCCACATCATAGAGAAGATTCGCCATTTCGGGGGTTTCCGGTATTAAACTTCGGTATTGCGGGTCGATATTGGGTGTCGGTTTTCCCCCTCCCCTCTCCCGCCTCCTCGCGAAGGCGAGGGCGGTTTGGCTGTAATGATCGTAGCTCAAGACCTCGCGTAGGAAGCTGGAGTAAAGGAACCACGCGGATGCCATCGGGGAATCCTCCTTTTCCGTTGTGGAATGAAAAGCCCCCTCTCGACGGGATCGACGCGCGTCCGGGAGGAGAAGAACATCCAATAGCAGCTCCACCAACCGCTCGGGAAGGGGCACGGGGTCGGAAAGCACGAGGGCCCGCGTATACGCCATGAGCACGCGGCGGCAAAACCCCACCTCCGCCGGGGTTTTCCGCGCCCGTCGAAAGCACGGATCGCGTCGGACGACCTCGTCGAGCATCGCCGACGTGGGGAGCCCCGCGTGGAGGCGCCCGGTGGACGGGCAAGGGCGCGGCAGCCACGCCCCCACCTCCCGCATCCTCAGGCGATCGCCACGACTCCAGACGACGCGGTCGGGGCTGCGGGATGGGGTGTGGATCGCCTGCGCGACCGCCGTGGGCGGGAAGGGGGCCTCGCCCGTCCACGGCGCGAACGCCGAGGGCGCGTCGACCATCCAGGCCGGCGGGGGCACCCCGGGCCGCCCCTGACGCGACGGATTCGACGACACCGCAGCGGCCACCCCCCGGGCGATCTCGCGAATCCGCCTCGCCTGTCCTCGCGTGGCGCCGTCGACGGCGATCGCCTCCATGGCTTCGATCCACTCCTCCATGCCGCTCTGCCCGTGACCGGCGGCGGGGCGCCTCGCCTGGCGAAGAATCCACCGCAACAGCCGTGAAATCCTCCTCTCCCCTCCTCCTCCTTCTTCTTCTTCGTCCCCTCCCCCTTCACACACGTTGCGTTGCAGCAAAAACTGCAGCTGCACCGCCTCCCGGCGAAGCACATGGGAGGAGGCGACGACGGTGAACGGATTCACGCCCACCACGCGAAGGCTGATCGTGTGAAACGCGGTGCAGGGGTTCCCCCCTGCCTCCCGTTCCCGCGCCCCCTCCCTTTCTCTTTCTCTTTCCTCCTCCCTCATCGGGTGGGAAACGATCACGAGGGGGAGCCCGTGATGCCGGAGAAACACCCCATCCCCGTAGATATCCGGCACGACCGACTCCGAAGGGGCATCCCCGTTCGTGAACGTCGAACCCCCGTGGGACGGGGGGGGGTAAAGCTGCAGGGCGGCCGTCATCAGCGGGAGGATGAGGGGGACGCGCGCGGATTGGCT